GATTGCCATGCTACAATATTGCCAAAGCAACTAGCATAGTGTGTAAAAGTTTCAGTAAAATAAAGGAATAGAGTAGTTTAACACTGTGGCTGGTTATGACTAGTTTAGAATGGGATATTTTTGGACAAGCCCAGTTGATTTGGTTTTTGTTTGCCGTTTGAAGGTCCTTGCACAGCAGCTAAATTCAGATCATTTTACTGCACATGCATTATTAACCATGCTATGAGCTGCTCATGTCACAGTCGCTCATGAGAAACACACTCATGGAGCTCGTGTTTGTCATTTGAATCTATGCAGAGCAACTGATGGTGTATCTTCTGCTGTGTGCCACATACAGGCAGTAACACACACTCACATGTTGCCTCATTATATTACTTAACTTTAAAAAATACTTATGGAAGCTTCAGTCTGGATCAACATGGTTGTCAAATTTGAATTCGGATTAGGTGTTCACACAAAAACAGTAAACTGGAGCACAGCGAAATAAACCTGAAAGCAAGCTTTCACTTACAATGACGGGATGTACGAATAATAAAAAAAAGGACTGAAATTGGAGAAAAAAAAAAGAACTGAATGCATTTTTCTTTAATTCAGCAAGTATGTGGATACCCTGAATCTATACAAATAAATAAAGGACTCATCCATGTGGAAACCCCCGCAGTTTACATTTGAAATGTTCAGCCTCAGATCTGTATTATGAGTCATTGTTTAGTGCTGGTTCATTTGAATGCAGAGAGTGAACTCACATGAACAAATGCACAGTTGTGGCGCGCTCCATTTGTTGTGCATGTCTTTAGAGGAAGTGCCATCTCAGCTCACATCAACTGCTTGTGATTTCCAGCGCTTCGCTTCCAAGCGTGCATTTACATGACAAAGTGTTTGAATCTCAATTGCTAAAAACTTGAGCCACCAGAACCCCCTCCCAAAGTATGGCTAAACTGAGGCTCGCAGTTGTATTCTTACATCTTTGAAACACACTGTTTCGCCATTTATCATACACTCTTAAAAAGAACCTTTCTTTATTGTCATCCACAGTTCCATGAAGAACCTTTAACATCTGTGGAACTCTTCCATTCCATAAAAGACACTTTATAGTGGAAAAAGATTCTTTAGTTTTTTTTAAAATGTTCTAAAAACTGTGACATCACTGTGAAAACCCTCTTTTGGAAGCCTTTTTTTTAATTTTTTTTTAAAGTGTGTACAGTGATTCAGTTTTTCATTGAATAAATTAGTTAATTTCCAAACGTAATGTAATTTTTACTTTTTTTTTTCTGGTTGCTTAACCATTTTTTTTACCATTGAGAAATTCCTAGTAAGAAAGTCTTAAATGCTGTGTACAAAATCCAGATCTCCATTGTCAGAGGATTTAGGGTTTTTGACTTTGGAATATTCTAAGAAAGGTTTTCATTTTTAAGTTATTTCATTGTGTCGTTTGTGGATTCTTAAAGCTTCACCAACACTTTTTGGCCGTTCTATCGCGATTTGTAGTTGAAAAATAAAATTGCAGGTTACTTGTAGATCTGTTTATGCATATAGTCATGCACATTAAAGCAGCTTTAAAAAAAAAAAAAAGTCAAGATGTTAATGTTTCTAATATCTTCATGCCGTAAGCAGATTAGAGCTAGTCAATAATATAGCACATTTTGATAAAAGCAATCAGGCAGTGTACCACAGTTACTACAGTAAAACAATAGTACTTAGCTACTAGACATTACTGTCATGCAAAAAGAAAATAAATGATTAGTCTATTGATTGGATGTTTGGATCTTGATCATGCTCTGTAACATGCATGAAGATGAGTTGTGGCATGCATTGAATGCAGTTTCACACTGAAGGTGTAAAACAGGCCGCTTACTGTCTTTTCTGAAAGAAAGCTGTTGTCGGAGTCAGTAGCAGCATTGTGGGTATTTCTCCCACGCTTTGCACTTTGTTCAAGTCCCGGCTTGTGGTCCTTTTCCTGATCCCGTCACATTTGCACTGTCCTGTCAAAATAAAGCCGAAGAATGCCAAAATGCATATGCATTGCTTTGAAC